TCTCTTTCTGTGCTGGTAGATCTGGTCTAAACTTGAACCAGGTCTTACCAGACTCTATAACTGCAAATGCAAATGAAACATCCCCCATCCCCCTCCCCCAGTAGTTTTCTTTGACTTTGCATAAAAATCTGGACTTTCTTGTCAAAGAAGGCAACTTTTAGTGCTTAATTAGTTCATAAAATCTTGCAATGTGTGCCAGCCCTGAAGCAGGGTCCCCACGGCAGACCAACAACAGTCTGCTCATTAGAGGAAGCCATTGGTCTGTGTCTGTTGCTCTGCATGGGCTGCTATCAAAGTCTCTGTGGTTTAGAGGATGCTACAGGAACACACATGCTCAAATGTAGGTACATGTGCACAGCACTCTGAAAACTGAGATTTTTTTCTTTGTGCCTACAAATCCTAAGAAAAGAACCAAAACCAACTAACAAATATATCTTTTTCCGTTTTGTGCCAGAGAGCTCACAAAAAAAACATGTCAAATCTTTAGTTTTTAAATTTGTACACCACATTGTATTTATATTAATGCCTTTACCATCTCTAAAAAAATTAATTTAACTGATGTGGATATCAAACTGATTGTTCTGTCAGTTCAAATATAATTTACAGAGCTACACTGAAGGAGGACACTATTTTGGTTTAAGTTAGGAAAATGGCTCAGCAACAGGGCTGTTTCTATGCAGCATAGCACAAAGAGATTAAGATAATGCAAAAGACCTGGAATATTTTACTATTTTAACACTGGAAACAAAATAAAAATGGAAATATACTGGATAATAAGATGTGAAATATATATGCTTCAACAGAATTAATTATATAAGATGAAATGCAAACAGTTCCAAATTCTGCAAATTATAAGCATACTGTGGACTTAAATAAATATAGTGTTCTAAAATGTTTAAATATATGTGTACACTGTAAAGAAATTGTAATATAAAAGTATTTTACAGTGTATTTTACAGTTTTGTACTGTTCTTCTAGAATATCATTAAATTTACATAAATAGACTGTGATTTTACATTTCAAATGTAAATTAACATAAAATCACTGTAAATGTAATAAAACACAATTTTCTTGTTTTTTAAATGTATCTGTCTGTCTGTATCTGTGCATATTTAGATTGTTAAAATACATTCACAAATGTATCATAATTTCATAAATATTTGTCCGTTATTTGAAAGATTGAACTGTTAAATTCAAATGTAATGCTATGGAAAAATATACAAAATGATTCGTATAAACTTTTTTTTTTTTACATCAAATAATAATAATAATTATTGTTATTTAGGGCGATCCTGGCTCAGGAGTTGGCAGTTCGCCTTGTAATCAGAAGGTTGCCGGTTTGAGCCCTGGATCGGACACTCTCGGTCATTGTGTCCTTGGGCAAGATACTTCACCTGCCACCTACTGGTGATGGCCAGAGGGGAATTATAAAGTGGAATTGTAAAGCACTTTGAGGGTCTCATAAAGTGCTATATGAAACAATTATTATTTAAACCAACTGTTAACTGTATATTTCTGTACATTTAAGTATTATTATTCATATTGCCGCAATCATTGACCTTGTTTATAGGTAATTTCATTGTTTAATCACATTAAATTGTTCCTAATTTAATGTTTAAAAGCACTTGAAAAAGGCAGAATCCCATGTAAAATTAGGGCAACAAACTGTATTGTCATTACTGAAAATAACCGTATTTTCATGCAAGTTATTTTCTGTTATTTTCTGGTATTATTTTGGTGCCCGAGCTGCCGGAATGTTACTTTTTTTTTAGGATTTTTTTTTTACGGTGTAGATGATTATAAAGAAAAGCTGAACGGCAGTATTAGCTTTATTTAACTGGAAAAATCTGGTATGTTTTTATCTTTTCTTGAGCTTTGCTGCCTTAATGTTTTGACATGTCACCTATATAGGTGACATGTCAAAACATTAAGGCAACAAAGCCTTTTTGGTAGGATGAGCAACCTTTAATCGAAACCCTGCTGCATCCTGTTTAATGAAATTAATTTTAAAGCATCTTATGGGTGTGGAAATGGAACCGGACTTTGTATTTATATACTGCTCTAGTCTTAGCGTCCACTTGGCTGTACAGAACTTTACTGCACATCCTGATTTAGAATCACCAGTTAGCCTAATGTGGATGTCTTTGGGATGTGGGAGGAAGCTTGACTACCTGAGGGACTCCCACCTTTTGCTTTAAGAGGACAGCGCTAACCAGTATTTACTGTCACTCTCATCCCTCTCCCTGCTGTTTTTCTTTTCCTTTTTAGGAACCGTGTGTCAGCACTCTGACAGAGAACACCAACTATACCACCATCTGTGCCTGCAAGTAAGAGGCACAATGCAACAAAGTGGTGTGTCACGGTGTCGCAAGGCGAGGCCATGGAGCCACTGATAATTTCATGATGGGGGAGCTATTGTGTTGCAGCTGCAGAGAGGGGGAGAAAAGAGAGAGGGACTCTGGGCTGGACACTTCGCAGGCGTGGCACCACAGCAGCAGCAGCAGAAGCTCTGAAGCAGCTGGCATCCACAATTAGAAAGACGGGAACAGAAAGAGACAGGAAGGAAGCTATGAGACAGAGGTGAAGAAAGGGAGGGTAAGGGAAGGTTAGGAGGGATAGAAAGCAATGGAAGACAAGCACTCTTGTCACACACACATGTGAGAAATGTTCACATCTGGTTCTCTCCTCTCTGTGTACAGAGCACCAAATTGAGTTGTCATCTGCAAGAGCCTGTGGTAGCGAATCACAGATGAAATTGTTGCTTTCCCTAATTAGCTCCAGTGTGAACTCTGAGGCCCAGCATCCCAGAATGTGTGTCACTTTTATAATCCTTCCCGCAGAGCAATTTAAAATGGGAGGTAACTACCTTTAGGCTGCACCGTGGCTGGAGTCATTTCCAGGCCACATTAAATGATAAGATCTGTAATAAGGCTGAAATATAGCTTAGCTGATTGAGCCAGGTGAAGGAGACAGCTTTTGTCATATTAATCCTAATGTGAAAATGATGGAAGAAAAATGAAGTCAGGGATGAAAATGATTAATCGTGCAAGGAGCTGGATGTGCCAGTTGTGTAACAAAAAAGAGAAAGGAAAAGAAAAAAATACATTCAAGCATTTAAGCAATTATGTAATTTGTTCCATGCTTCGAAGAGTGCAAATGCAAATTGAATACAGTGACTCACAGCCACGAAGCAGGTGCACGCGAGCAGAGGCAGGATTATCTGATTGAATCCAACCCAGAACTCAAAACTAATTAAAACATTCTCAGACACAAGAGCATTATCTCCTGGTCTTCATGAGCAAGTTTGTTGTGTGTTTAGTGTCGATTTTTCGAGCAAAGGAAGAACTTTCAGGGATAAGAGTGAAAGTGTGGGATTATTCGGAGGAGAGAAAAGGTTGCTATGGCGTTCCTCAAGAGCTGTGCAGACAGTTTGCTTTATCCCTCTAGTTAACTGAGTAGGATGTCTGCCAAGCTCCCCAGGGATCTGTGTGTGTGAGAGAGAAAGAAAACAGAGCTAGAGGAAGGAGAGTAGTTCCAGTGGGGCATGATTTGCTGAATGGACTGACAGGCAGAGACTTTATGAAAGTGGTCTGTCACAGCGGACACACAGCTACGCCAGAGGACTGCTTGACGTGAAGCTCAGCCGGCTGGCAGAAATCATTTTCGTAGTGTACATGTTAGAACTGACCAACACTGCATTATGTAGCTCACACTGTGTGTAAAGAACCAGAGCCTATTCATCATATTTTGTCATTGTAGACATCAGTGTATGTTGACAGAAGAGAATTTAACTGGATTTATGTCTGCCAGCAGGTACAAGTAATAAACTACTCCACCAGTGAAAGTAGCAGAATATATCAAAATTCTAAAACGTAAAAGACGTCAGCGTGCAGTAAGGCAGTTGATGTCTGGTTAATTGAGGTTTAATGCTTTTGGAGCAAAAAGTTGTTTTAATGTGAGAAAATATTATTTAAAAAATAAAAATAATAAAAATACAAGGTTATTATTTATCTTTATTCTTCAAAGATGCTTTGCTGGACATAAATTAGTCAGCACTTAGTATGGCCATCATACACCCCAACCACCTCCTACTGACTGTGATGAACTTTATGAATATGTTGCTTCATTCATTCATGAAAAAAATTCTCCAAAAACCCATTTAGTTAGTAATTACATTTCTTATCACAGAGTAATTGAAAAACGTTTATCCATATATGAAAATAAATGAGCACGCACTCCTTTTTATAGACATGTTAGGAAATAATGGTCCTTTGTTACTGTGTCACTATGTCTTTTTTGTATATATATAAAACACAATTTATAAGACCTTAGCATAAAAATAAGAGACTCTAATTAAAATAACTGCCTTTTTATCATAATCTTTGGAAAAATATGGATAATTCCGAATGTTAGAGTCGCCTTTAAAATAGCTGCCTTGGTGCATTTCAGCTGAATCATTGAAGTTTCCAGGACGAGGAGTCGTCCTGCTGCCAATTCACACTATCAGCCACAGTGGCCTCCTAATCAGCAGTGGAACCAGCCCGACTGAACAAACAGGCAGTTTTATACCGAGGAGGCATGCAGAGTGTGACCTTGACCTGACTGCCAACCAGAGTAACCAGTGGAAACCACAAAAATGCAAATGCTTTTCATTGATTTATGGAGCTATACTTGTTAAATGTAATTTATTTTATTCAATTAAAATATAATAAAATTAAAAATATAAAAATAAAATATAATAAAAATATTATTATTCAATTTGGACCCATGATTAGGTGCAATTAAATTCAGACACGGGTGGAACAGCATTTTTTTTTCTCTTTTCTCACACAGTTTGGTTACAAGGTGTCACTGCAACTGTTACATCTGAAAAGGAGAAACTTGAAGTATAAATTTATTGCAGTCAAATGAGTGCAATCAAAGCCAAATGAAAGTGACCTTCATGTTCACACGGCTGGAGCAAACAGGCAGTAAACAGACTCATTTGCAGTAATTCCTACCTCTCAGCTGATTTCAGGTAGTGTGGAAAAGCTTCTGCTCTCCAAATAAAGGCTGACGGCCGGCCTGTGGGAGGAAAGCAAATGTCAGAGTAATTAATTTGTTTTCCTTTAAGAATAATAATACAGGGCCAGTGGTGTGTGTTAAACAGGCTGGACTGGGACTCCTCACACATATAGAATCTTTGTATTAATTAACTGTAATAAATCATATAAGCATGGTCAGCGACTGCACACAGGCATATGATGCATGTGCTTTGCATCCGTGTGTACATATACATGCACCTCCCCATTGGCCATGTCTGTCCTAAGCAGCGCTGCGGCGCTGAGGTCCGTTTTGTGTTGATAGCAGTCTCGTTAATCATGCACACGCACAGCCTGCAGCTCCATACCTATGATTATCAGCATCAATTGGCTCAGAGAAAAAGCAACTGCCGTCTTTGGACCAATGGAGGCAGAGGTTGTTGGGGTGTAACAGACTGGATGGTTATTGATTTAAGTGTGAGAGGAGACTAAATGGAATCTGAATATTTTTCCTCAGAGATGAGACAGTTATTGGTGGTGCTGGGTGTGTCAGCAAGACACAGTCCCCAAAAGGATGGATTCAGTTTTGCACTCAGAATATAATAACTTCATATTAATTAAGAGTCTATAATAATTAAACAGCTTGATCACAAAATTCCCTGCAAATATGTTTTTGTACTCTTATTCAATTCTGTTGATTTTAATGTATGCATTAGATTCTAAACCAGTCTTGCAAAAGCGGTAAAACATCACTTTGATTACACTGAAAAGTTCCAAAATAATACACCTCATCTGGTTGGTTTTTTTTTGTTTGAATTAATTATTATTATAATTTTTAATATAACAAAAGTTGTGCTGTCATAGCAGATTACAGAGGGCTAAAATATATTTACCACAACATGGAATTAAAGATGGTAAAAAAATATCATCAATTCAATTCAACCTTATTTATACAGCGCAAAATCACAACAGCAGTCGCCTCAAGGTGCTTAATAATGTAAGGTAGACCCTACAATAAAAAATATTGTGTAAAAAATTAGAATTTTTTCATGATTTCTTCATAACAGGTATCTGAAAGATGATTACCTGCTTCTGTGACAGGGTGCAGCTGCAGACTGTCATGATATCAAATTTCCACAGCATGATTATTGCATCCAAAATGACTCACAATAATGATTTCCTTAAAATGGCAGTAGAAAATGTAATTACTATATATACACTTATACTGGGGCGACCGTGGCTCAGGGGGTTGGGAAGCGTATCTGT